AGGAATTTGAGACCAGCCTGACCAACATGGCAAACCACATCTCTACTTTTTGTAAAAATACAAAAATTAGCCAAGTATGGTGGCAGGTGCCTGTAATCCCAGCTACTTGGGAGGCTGAGGCAGAAGAATCATTTGAACCTGGTGTGGGGGGCAGAGGTTGCAGTGAACCCAGATTGTGCCACTTCACTCCAGCCTCGGTGACAGAGCAAAACTTCGTCTCAAAAAAAGAAAGAAAAAAGAAAATATGCACATCCTTTATATGTGAGAGGAAAAGCACAGGCAACTCAGAAAAACAATGGGTACGTGTCATGAGCCAGCATTTGGAGAAGAGGAAATACACAAGCATGTGAAGATGGCTACAGACCAGGGGAACGCAAATCAAGACCATCGTGTGGTGCAATTCCATACCCATGTGATTGGAAAACATGTGAAAGTCTGTGTGAGCCAAGTGCTGGAGAAGATGAGGACTGACGATTTCTCACACATTGCAGCCACTTTGAATACTGTGTTGGCAGTAGTTCTGAAAATTGAAACTCACATGCCCTAAACCCATCAATTACCTCCTAGGGTAGTACCCGAGAGAAACGCTTGCAGGTGTTGACCAGGGACATTTACAAGAATGCTCATGATCATCCACAAAAGCAGAAGCCTGGCAACAGTGGGAGAGCGGGTAAAGAGACAGTTCCCAGCCCATCAGCAGGAGAGTGGGTGAATAAACTACATTATAGTCAAGATAATGGAACATTATACAGTGATATGATATTGAGTTTAAAAAAAAAAAAAGAACACCAAATCTCTAACACTACCTATAACATTATACCCTTTAAATAAAATTTTAGGATCACATGAAGATGGAAAACAAAAACTATATAAAAAAGGAAGCAGGGAAGTAAGAAGCATGGAATTCAGGTGGTAGTCACCTTGATGGGGGCCAGGGGGTGGGGAAGCGCAGGTTAGACACAGGTGTGGTCAAGGCCTCACTCCTATATGGGTGCTCATTCATAGCACTGATGCTAATTACAGTACTTTTTTTTTTTTTGAGATGAAGTCTCACTCTGTGTCACCCAGGTTGGAGTGCAGTGGTGCAATCTGGGCTCACTGCAACCTCTGCCTCCCAGGTTCAAGCAATTCTCCTTCCTTAGCCTCCTGAGTAGCTGGGATTACAGCCACCTGCCACCAAGCCCAGCTAATTTTTGTATTTTTAGTAGAGACAGGGTTTTACCATGTTGGCCAGGCTGGTCTAGAGCTCCTGACCTCATGATTGGCCTGCCTTGGCCTCCCGAAGTGCTGGGATTACAGGCATGAGCCACTGCACCCAGCTAATTACAGCATTAAAAAGTAATTCATTAAATAGACAAAGTAGGATTATGTATTGACCAATGAAGAGAATGTCTCATGTCCTAAGCATCACAGGTAATTTAATTCAGTCCACCTAGAATCCTCCAAATATGAAAGAAGAGGTACAGTAAGGAGTCCCTAGTTACCCGCTGTGGCACCCGACTCCCTTCTTGGAAGCTGAGACGTCCCCATTCCACTTCCTTCACTTGCAGCTCAAGTCACTCGTGGAACTAACTGCTGGAATTGGTTACTCTGTGGTAACAGAGCCAGTTCCTGCCCTGAGACCTGGACCCTCCATGACACCGCCACTGGGTGAGGAGGAGAGGGGGCTGTGGATGACCATCGCACCTCAGAGGCTTGAGCTGGATGGCCCTGGCCTGACCACAGGTGGCTGGAAAAGATGATAAGTAGATGGGATTCCATTTCCTCACACACGGCACTCCTTGAAGTTGGCGGCATCACTGCCAGTGGGGCTCAAAGTTTATGTTTCCCAAGACAGAGAGGTTGAGTCGTAGCCCACCTTGAAAGCCCAACAGCACCACGGGAGAGGCTTTCAAGAGGACAGTGGCTCAGAGATTTTGGGGGAGAGGAGGGCTGCAGGAGGGGGGAATAAGAGGGGAATTCAAGGGAGAGGAAGATGAAAGTGAAGTCAGGAGAGAGGAGACCGATCTGCAGGGGGAGAAGGAGAGGAGATTTGCCCCACTGGGTCAGCGCCTCGGGTCTTGGCATCATTTTGTGCATTACTGTTTAACGACTGTTCCAAGTGCCAGCGTCTCCAAATTCCCATTCTGCTACGATCCCCAGAAATGAACAGAGCCCCACATCTCTCACAAAGGATCCATGTCTATATTTGACAAAAATCTTCTAAATATCTCGACCCTTAGGAAAAATATATTGTTATTAATAGCACTACAAACATGACTTGCCACCCCTCCCCCAGCCAAAATAAATTTTGTATTAAGACATCTATGTCTGCCGGACACAGTGGCTCATGCCTGTAATCCCAGCACTTTGGGAAGCCAAGGCGGGTGGATTACCTGAGGTCAGGAGTTCGAGACCAGCCTGGCCAACATGGTGAAACCTTGTCTCTACTAAAAATACAAAACTAGCAGGGCATGGTGGCATGCGCCTGTAATCCCAGTTACTCAGGAGGCTGAGGCAGGAGAATTGCTTGAACCTGGGAGGTGGAGGTTGCAGTGAGCCGAGATTGTGCCACTGCACTCCAGCCTGGAGGACAGAGCGAGACTCCATCTCAAAAAAAAAAAGAAAAAAGAAAAAAGACATCTACGTCTGAAAGAGAGGGATGAGTTATGCTAACAGAGGCAACAGCAAGAAGAACCACATAATTGAGTCCACTAATTACACCAGTGACTTGAGCTGCAAGTGACGGAAGCCGAATGGGGATGTTTCAGGTTTCAAGAAGATAAGCTGTCCCGGCTCCACCCCTCTGATCAGATCACAGAGGCTGCATCCCTCGACTGTGCATGAAACTTGACAGCCCTTGAGTTTAGAAGCTCCAATTCTGGAGCACTGGGGAAGGACAGAAGTCGTGAAGACAGCAGTTTTCCTTTTTCACTTAGAATCACAGGGGAGAAAGTTGCCTGGAGGAGGACCTGTTCAGTTGAGACGTGCTGAGAAAATGCCAGGGGTACCTACTGCACGCCCCAACACCCCACAAGGAGCCCACTGTTCAAGTCCTGAGTTCCCGGACTGACTCTACTTGAAGAGGCCAACTGACCCCAGTCACAGACTTCCCCTAGGTGGGGCTCAGCTTGAACATCTACACCAGGATCAGCAAACTGGCCTGTGGGTCAAATCTATAAATAAAGCTTTATTGGTACACAACCATGCTTTGTGGTTGCTATGCGGTTGTTTTTGCACTGCAACAGCAGAGTTGAATATTTGCAACAGAGACTGTATGGTTCATAAAACGTAAAATACTTACTATCTGGCTACTTACTGGAAAAGTTTCTCAACTCCTGATTCGTATTATGAAGGACTTAACTGGATCACTATTTCTCAGAATGGGGGTCATAACACCCGGAGGGTTACACAACCATAAGTGGGGATAGTGACAGTAACAAAGCAAAGTAGCCCTTTCCATATAGAGGTAATGCAGAGGCAAACATACGTAAAGGTTTAGACCGAGACACATAGCACATATTAGCATTATTTTTGTTTCTATGATTTTTGTCTCTAAGTAACTTTACCAACGTGATTTCATTTCTATTATTCCATGGAGAATCCATTTGGATGCAGGAAAAATTCCCAGAACTTCGTATTATATTTATATTTATGTCACTGTTATATTTTGTTGTATTGCAATAAAATATTGACATTTTTTATTTTATTTTAGTATTTTTTTGTTTTCGTTTTCCTTTTTCTTTTCTTTCTTTTTATTTGTTTGTTTGTTTGTTTGTTTGTTTGTGAGGCAGGGTCTCATGCTGCTCCCCGGGCTGGAGTACAGTGACGCAATCTTGATTTCGCAGGCTCAAGCGGTCATCCTACCTCAGCTTCCCTAGTAGCTGAGACTATAAGCATGCACCACTATGCCCAGCTACACTTTGTTTATGTTTTTGGTTTTTTTGTAAACATGTTGCCCAAGCTGATCTTGAACCCCTGAGCTCAAGCGATCCACCCACCTTGCCCTCCCAAAATGTCGGGATTACCGGTGTGAGCCACCACACTCAGCATATTTTTGTATTTTATATTACAGTTGGCCTTCTGTGTCTATGGTTTTCACATCTGTGGATTCAACCAACGCAGATCGAAAGTATCTTTTTTAACTGGATAGTTGCATCTATATCAAACGTGTACAGACATTTTTTCCTGTCATTATTCCCAAAACAATAGATTATAACAACTACTTACATAGCATTTCCATTGCATTCGCTATTATAAATAATACAGAAGTGATTTAAGGAATAGGGGAGAGTGTGCTTATGTTGTATGCAAATTCTATGCCATTTCATATAAGTGACTCAAGCGTCCGCGAATTTTGGTATCCTGGGAGTGTGGGGGAGGGGTCCTGGAACCAGTACGCCACAGATACTAAGGGGTAACTGTACATTTATATTTACTTTTTAAGCTGAGAAAGAACAGAATTCAGTTTTGCTAACATCTATTTTATTATTACTTAGGTTCACATATATACTTCATACATAAATTAATTCTTCATGATCTACTTCTACTACTACTAACAATAGCAACACTTTATTGAGCATTTACTATGTGTCAGTGAGTATTTTGAGAGCTTTATAGGAATTCACTCATTTCACCGTAACAACTCAGTGATGAAAGATACTATAAGCCCTGGTTTACAGATGAGGAAACTAAGGCACAGAAAGGTTACGAAACTTGCCCAAAGTCACACAGCTAGTTAGTGGCAGATCTGAGTATGAACTCAGACGAGTCTGGCTCCGGAGCCCCTCTGCTGTGTGTTTTTCTCCTACACATGTATATATTGACTCCATATGCTCAAAAGCTTTTTGAAAAAAAGTCCATGGGGATATATGATCCTTGTGGTGTGGACAGTTTCAAAGACGCTGGACTGGCATTCTTCATTAGCCCCCTGCTTGGGCAGACGTCTGGTTTCTGTGGGCATGGCACTGGTTAGTCTGCCGGCTCCTCCCAGCTCCTGACATGTTCTCTTCCTCCCGCAGCCCACCCCGAGAGAGCTGCCCTGCTGTTTGTGTCCAGCGTCTGCATCGGCCTGGCCCTCACATTGTGTGCCTTGGTCGTCAGAGAGTCCTGTGCCAAGGATGTCCACAAGTTGCAGCTGGGGAGGGAGCAGCTGGTGCCAGGAAGTGACAGGGCTGAGGAGGACAGCGAGGACGAAGAAGAGGAGGAGGACTCTTCTGACTCTGACTTCCCAGGGGAACTGTCGGGGTTCCACAGGACTTCATATCCTGTCTACAGTTCCATAGAAGCTGCAGAGCTCGCAGAAAGGATTGAGCGCAGGGAGCAAATCATCCAGGAAATATGTATGAACAGTGGTTTGGACACCTCACTCCCCAGAAACATGGGCCAGTTCTACTGAAAACCACATGCGTCTTGAGGTGATCGCACTTTCTGAAGAAGGAAGGATCCCAAATGCCCCCCAGTTCTGGTTCACCTGTACCTTCTATGAAGGAGAATTTGTCAGCTCATCCAACACTCGTGAGGCCAGGAAGCTATTAAAGGGACGTTTCAAGCTGTTTCCAGCACATTCCAAAATAAATGAGGAGGGAAGAGTCTTTGTTTTCTGTATTTATTTGAATTTGTGTCGATACATTCACAAGTCTATACTTAATAAGAATTTACATTTTTTGAGTGCTTATAATGTCAGGTACTATTCTAGCTTCTTTTCGTGTCCTGAGTCATTCAGTCTTCACAATGTCATGAGATGGTCCTATTACCCCCGTTTTACGGATAAGTAAACAGATTTATATATACCTGTAAAATAGTTATACAGATACTCAGCAAGCGTGAGCTCATGAGTGATTTTAACCACTGACTTTGTTTAGACCAAGGGTTAGCAAACTTAAAAAAGGCAAGATGACAGGCCAGGCACAGTGGCTCACGCCTGTAATCCCAGCACTTTAAAGAGGCCAGGGCAGGCAGATCACTTGAGATCAGGAGTTTGAGATCAATCAGCCTGGCCAACGTGGTGAAACCCCATCTCTACCAAAAAAATAAATAAAAAATTAGCCTGGTGTATTGGCACATGCCTGTAATTCCAACTACTCAGTAGGCTGAGGCAGGAGAATCGCTTGAACCTGAGAGGCAGAGGTTGCAGTGAGCCAAGATCATGCCACTGCACTCTAGCCTGGGCGATAGAGTGAGAGACATTGTCTAAAAAAAAAGGCAAGATTATAAATATTTTAGTCATTTGTGGGTCAAATCCTCTCTGCCACAATTACTCAATTCTCCATTGCAGCTCAAAAGCACCCACAGATAATACATAATGAATGAACTTGGCTGTATTCCAATAAAACGTTCTTTTTGGACACTGAAATTTAAGTTTCATTTTATTTTCACGTTACAGATTCTCTTTTTTTCAAACCAACCATTTAAAAACATAAAAGCTGGAGGCCAGGAGTTTGAGACTAGCCTGGGCAACATAATATGACCCTACCTCTATTTAATTTTTTAAAATAATGTAAATAAAAGTAAATGAAAATGTAAAAACCATTCTTAACTGAAAGGCTGTACAAAAACAGACAGCAGGATGGATCTGGCCTGTAACCTATTTTTATAAACAAAGTATGGTTGGCAAAGCCTAAAATATTTACTTTCTTGCCCTCTATAGAAAAAAGGTTGCTGGCTCCTGGCTTAGAGTTTAAAACGGCAGAGCTCCTGGTGGTAAAAGCCATCAACCAGGGTACCTAACAATGCAGTGGGCCAGGGTCAAGTGGAGCTGGCTCCAAAATCTCCCCAAAAACTGGGTCCCAGCCAGGCGTGGTGGCTTACGCCTGTAATCCCAGCATTTTGGGAGGCCAAGGCAGGTGGATCATGAGGTCAGGAGTTCGAGACCAGCCTAACATAGTGAAACCCCATCTCTACTAAAAATATAAAAATTAGCCATGTGTGGTGGTGGGCGCCTGTAGTCCCAGCTACTCAAGAGGCTGAGGCAGAAGAATCGCTTGAACCCAGGAGGCAGAGGTTGCAGTGAGCAGAGATTGTGCCACTGCCCTCCAGCCTGGAGACAGAGTGACACTCGGTCTCAAAAAACACAAACAACTGGCTCCTACCCCACTGGAGGAGGGCGGGGCGGAGGAGCAGAAGAAAGAGTTCCAAACACAGACACCAGTGGGAGAACTGATGAGTGATTTCTGCAGACGGCTCCCCCTGGTGGACAGGAGGCTAATAGCTGTGGATCAAACAAGAAAAGTTTTTTTTTCTTTTTTGTCCTAAAGGGGCTTAGAATAGAAAACTGATTGCATTTTTCATATGCCTACTACCAAAGAGCTCTCTCTGTATTTTGTTACTTTATCATCACTAACTCTGCAAACACAGGGAAACAATGGGGGGTTTCACCATGTTGGCCAGGCTGGTCTCGAACTCCTGAACTCAGATGATCCTCCTGAACTCAGGTGATCCTCCTGCCTCAGCCTCCCAAAGTGCTGGGATTACAGGCATGAGCCACTGTGCCTGCCCTGGAAAGAAATCGATTCTACATCATAGCAGAGAATGAAGTGAATTCCATTGTCCAACTGCTTCATAACGATTTTGTTCTAATAAGATAATCTTTGTCCTTTCATGTCCCTGAGTTCAGCAAGGAGCACTTTGATATTGTCCCGGCTCCCAGAGCAGCTGTCTGTCTCTATTTCCAGTTTGAAGGCAGCATCTCCCCTTTCTCCATGAACACAAATGCCATCCAGCTGATGGCTGATGACTGTCTTCTTAGGGCTGCAGATGGTCACTTTACCAGTTGAAGAAAGAGCTGTGCCCATATTTGTCTCAGTCAAATGCTTTTCTTGAATTCCACAAATAGGTCTTCCCTTATCTGAATCAGCTGCCAGCATCATGCACACTTATACACACACACACACACACACAGAGACACACACACACACCCTCCCAGGATCCCTGCAGAGGCAGCTGGTAAACAGGGTTGCCAACTCGAGGGCCAGTCTTTGGCCTGTGCAGATACAGTGAGATATTTCTTTCCATTTTCAGAGCCTCCAAGAAGAATGCCATGTTCTCCTTGTGGAAGGAGTCTGAAGGGTCCTGCTGAGATTGTGTTTGGCTGGGCACAAAGCCCAGGGGGAAATGACCAGAGCAGATTTGAATAAGAGATTGCTGACAGACTTCAGTGACTGGGTGGAAGCTCCCGGATGGGTCCTCCTAGGGTGTGCGGGCTCATGTGGCTGCCACTTCTTGCTTTTGTGCAGCAGAGACCCCATTGTTTCCGAGCTGTGAGGTCCCAGGAGTCCTGTGAAAAGAAGCCAGAATTCACAGTTGGACCTGTGACCACTTCACAGGTCCCAGGTGGGAACCCAGCTCCACCTTACCCGACCTCTGCCCACCTTCCTGGGATACACCTACATGTCTCATTCACTGTGTCATTCAGGAGTTCAAGACCAGCCTGGCCAACATGGTGAAACCCCGGCTCTACTAAAAATGCAAACCCCAAAGGCTCAGTGCACAGGTCCCTGTCCCCCTGGGAGGTTTGCATGGCCCTACCTCAGCTACTTGCTGCTAATGCTGACTTTCCATCCATGAGCTGCCTGCGGTGAAATTCTACTCTTCTGGACACACTCGAGCTTGTCCGAGGGGCTGCTGATGCTTGCAGCAGCCATGACATTTGCTGCCGCTTCAGGGAGAAACCCAGGGACCAAGCAGGTTCTGGGCAGCCTGGAAGCAGTTCCACTGCTGACGCCACAAATGGGCCCATTGCAATGTTGGTGCCCCCCTCCCAGGCACCAGCCCTCAGCTGCTGAGAGGAGTGGCTGAGAATGGCCCACACCTGTCCTCTTCTGCAGAGAATTACTCCTCCCTCCTTTCTAACAGGTGTTTCCCCGGAAAGCACTCCTTCAATCAATCTCTCGTACACGAATCTCTATCTCAGGAAACTGACTTACAGCATCCAGTGTGACAGATCTGTGGACAGGGAGCGTACCAGCTCCTGCCAAGCCGCAATGCTGGGCGGCGTCACTTACAACCTCAGTGGGTGGGAGCCAGGCCCGAAGGAATGTCAGTGACCCTCCCCACTAGCTCATGGTGTCGGGAAGTCAGCCACTCATACACCCGGCATTTGGGGAGTCTTGGAAAGAGGTGCCCACAAGATCATCCTTTCAGTCTCCCCCAGCCTTCTCCTTGAGTTCCTGGAAACCAGTCCCTGCTCCAGGAACCAAAGCCCAATGCCAGGCAGTCAGGAAATCCAAGCCAGCCTCTCCTCCATCTCCCTGGGTCTCGGTGCCACTCCCCGCATCTCCAGATGTCCAGCGGGACCTCCTGAAAAGCACCACTGCCCTGAAGCTCCACCCTACTTCCTGCCTGTCACCCTGGACCCCTGGAACACTGACATCAACCAGACTAGACATGACTCTGCTTCAGCTCTGGACTCAGGGTTTCCTCGGTCACTGTGTTACTCTTGTCTCCCAGCTTCTGCTCTGACTCAGTCCTAGCTGAGTCTTGGGGTGACTTATCTGTGCCTCAGTTTCCTCATCTGTAAAATGGGCATAATAATGGGATCTACTTCCTAGTGGTGCTTTACACATAATGACAATACATTTCAGCTTTTATCATCAATGACATCTCCCCATGAGAGGCAGCATCCAGCATCCCGTGTGGCCAAGGTCACACCATTTAGACCACACTAAGGGCACATTGCAAAATTCAAAAGCATTATAGCAATGAATCATTGAGGGAGAGGACAAGCCAGCCTCCTTCAGCCCTGCTATAGAGACGAGTTTGTGGTGGAGAAATAATTGCATCTGCAGAGCTCAGAGGAAAAGTGTCAAGGCCTGAACTGTCTTGGATTCTGCAGCCAAGTTCATTGTCAAGTATCCGGCATGCAGACTTGAGCTGTGCTCGGTTTTGGCAGGGTAGCTATAACCCGGAACTATGGTCATTTGGTTTTAAAAACCCATTGTAAGCCTGACCACCAGTGTGGAGTTGGCCAAACTCCACCCTAAGACTGGATGGTAGCCTTGGAGATTAAATCCTAAATAATCCAACAAATGCTCTGTGGACTGGAAGCTGCACTGGTCCATAGCTAAAGAGAAAGCAGGAAAGAGCCACGATAACCATCAGCCCATAAGGGAGAATGCAGGAAGCCAGCTCAGGATCCGGGACCACTGCGTCATTTTTAGGAATTTCAAATCAACCAGTCACCTCCTCTGGGTGTGGCACAGTGCCAGGCTCCCTGGAGAATGAATGAGTGTAGCTAATTGCAGATGCTGTCAGTTCCGGGCTGTGCTGTCCAGGATTGAGCCACTAGCCACATGCAGTCATTTACTTTGAAATTGAAATCAATTAATAAAATGTAAAAGTCACCTGCTCAGTTGCACTAGTCACATTTCAAGTACTCAACAGCCACATGGCCAGTGGCTACTGCCTTGGACAGTGCAGATGGCTCTATTGGACAATGCTGAGCTAGTGTATGAAGTCGGGCTTGGAGACGCCTGCTCGATTCATTGATAACATGGGACAGATATTTCCCTCCCCTCACCAACCGAGGACATCATCAAATATCAAAGTCCCAGGCACAGAAATGTGGGAACCCAGCTCTACCCTACCCGACCTCTGC